TGTGTATAAGAGACAGCTTCTTGCACTGTGTCCCAGCAAACCCAGATCCATGTCACTGCGTGGAGCTGCAAGGAGCCTTCAGACAAGGAGGGGGGAGGATGGCATGGCTCTGGGCTTTTGGGAGTTCTGTTCCATTTTGAAGCCCTGCCTTGGTTTGCCTGTGCAGTCAGAGCCAGGCACTCAGCGGTGGTTGTGGTTGCACCCAAACAGCACCACTGCCTCCTGCCCTGGACATCGCCCTGAGCAGGACTAGGTGGGACAGAGCTCCCAAAGGCTCTTCAGCTCCTGAGCAGACACATTTGCCATCAATAGTGATGGTAAACCCCTGGGTCAGAGCTGTTCTGTTATCATACAAACCCCCTTCGCAGACTGATACAGCTGCTACTTTCCACTGCAGCATCCCCCTGCCCTGTATTTGCCCAAGACCTCTGTGTGACCATGTTGGGAGCAGTAATTTCCCACCAGACTATCACCCTTTTTTGAGTCTACTCGGGTCTTTCCACTTTTCTTGTCTCTCATCTCCATGTCACCCTTCCAGAGCACCAAGGCAAATGGTGTCCCGTGAGTCCGGACAGTCCTCTCCATGCCTTGACACAGCAATGCCAACATCAGCTGTCTCATCAGCTTTGGATCCAAAATGCATCGCTTCACGTTCGCTTGTGCTAAGCTCCTCCATCTGGTTTCATACCCGCCCTGATGATGTTTTCTGAGGCATTAGCAGTGGATCTAATGTTAGTGCCATCAGCAGATTTCTTGGCATCAAATTCCTCTTGAACATCTTTAACCCCAAACTGAGCGCTTTGACCCTTGCACCAACCCTGTGGTGCAGTGGGTCCCCTGGCATTAGCAATAACCCCATCGCCTGATCCCAAACGGGCTTGGAACCCCCCTGCCTCCAGCTTACACTGGGAAATGCCAGGTAGAAAAACCCCAAATTCGGCCCATGTCACACCTGGTGCAAAAGCTAACCAAACCCAACGTCATTCTTTGGGCAGCACAGCAAGAGTGGCCCTATGACAGTTTTTGGGTTGAAACCCTTCCACCCACCTTTCTTACCTTGGTGTCTTCAGTGTCAGACTGGGTGCTCGTCTCCTCATAGAGGTCAGACTCTTCTGAGGCGATGGGGACTTGCACCGTCAGGTTGGGGTTGTTGATGAAATTCATGTGGTCCAGTTCATCCATGAAAAAGTGCTCTTTGCCAGTGACTCCATCCAGGTACTCCGACTTGGGCTCCTGGCCAGTGTCCACATGGTTTAGCACAGAGTTGTCCCTCTTATTGGGCTCTTGCTCTTCCTCTGGGGCTACCTTCTTCCCTTTCCACAGCCTGCGGAGCAGCATGAGGACAGAGGTCTTTACAAAGTCGATCCCCCTGCTGATCCTGCCAATAGCGATCTGCAAATTGTTCATCTCTCCATCATCGTCAGATGCTGCCAGGCTATCGGCGCTGAAGGAGCTCAGCAGCAAAGCTAAAAACAGATTCAGCACCTGGAGGGGACAAAAGCAAATACCGGCACTGACGTCTGGCACCAACATCATCCCTGCAGGCTGGAACAGCAGGGACCAGTCATGGCCGTGAAGAAGACCCTTGTGTTAACCGTATCATGGGACACCCTCCTCCTGCTGCCCAGCTCTAGGGACTGCAGCGATGCCAACTCCATCTCCTGGAGAACACGGACATGATCCAGCTCCTCCTCATTGCTCCCTGGGCTCTGATGCCCTCAGTGACACCCCTGGCTCCTTGGGTCCTGCTGACTCATTTACAAGTGATGCCAGTTATCACGTCAGCCCCTCTCAAGCCACCTCCCCTGTGGGTCCATTAGCATGTCCCTCCCTTTGGTCTCTTGGAGCTCTTGGACTGACTGGTCCCCATGTGGGACTCTCCAAGCCTATGGTGCTTCTCCCCACCACCCACAGGGATGTAACTCAGCTCTGTTCCTTCTCTTTCCAGGGATAAACCTGCTTCTTATCATCCGAGCTGGAACTCTGCTGGCTCTGATGTCTCAGATGCTTAGTGAGCTCCTGAGGATCTCCAGCACTCTGAAGCCACATAGGAGCCTGAGCCACAGCCGTAACCTCCTCCCTTTCTACCAGAGATGACTCTGCTCCATGGAAAGTGGCATTTAATCTCAGCACAAGTCAGCTCATGGGATGCAAAGGCAATGCTCTATATAGTTCCAAGCACAGGCTCTCTCCTGCTTCCCCCAGACCTCTCCTGCTTCACCATGCCCGAAACGTGACTGGACCCCACAGCAGCCTCGCCTGGCATGGGTGGACTCGCTGCATGCCAGAAACCTGGAGCAGCTCATGAGAAGAGGAGCAGGACGGGCTCTGCCCGGGGTATGGGAGCACTGGCAGCCCCCAGACATGCACTTGCTGCGCAGAGCGGCCGATGGGCCAAGTCCACAGCTGTTGATGTTTGTGCCTTTCTGTGCCAGCAGTGTATCTGAGAAGGGAATTAGCTGCTATTCAAGGTCACTGCTGTTTTCACATACCATATGACTTAAATCGAATCTTTAAATAAATCCCTACTATCCCATCAGTTTAATACTTATGTTAAGTACCAATTACAGCTAATAGTTGCTATTAGACCTGGCGTTTTTGGACAGGAGTCCATTACCTTGTCACCCGACTGACTTCCTCCCTTTTCCCTTAATAACCCCAAAGGAAATGCTCAAAGTGTCATTAACAGTAAAGGACAACTGGCCGCCGCCTTATTCCTCTGCAGGGGAAGTGGGGATAAACACACCTCCCTGCAGCTGGGATGCTCAGGAGGCTGTGCAGGACAGGCTCCAGGACTCGGAAATACCGGAGACGTGTCCAGGAGAGCTTGGCAGAGAGGATGGAGAGGGCAGACATGGCTCTGTAGGTGGTCGTGCACCGTGTCTCTCTACTTAGCTCTAAACGAACCCCTTGCAGCAGCACAGAGAACAGCAGGAGCTGCAAAGCTTGCCCAGAAAGCTGGTGTCCCTCTGGAAGGGCTGCCTCTGACCCCACCAGCTGAAAATTGTGCTGTTCCCCTATTTTCTCCAGGAAAGTTTCCTGAAGGAGTGGATGGGCTGTCCTACTCCAAAAACTGGCTCTAGAAGAGGAAAGGTTTCCTGAGCCCCTTCTGGGGAGGGTCTCCAGGGAGCCCCAGATGCAATTCCTGGTCTCTAAGCTCCTGCACTCTCTGCGGACTGTTCTGGAGATGCTCCTGCTGTTTATGGGTGATTTTCAGCCCGATTCAGCCCCGCAATTCAAACGAAGGGGTTCCCCCTTGACAGGTAGCGTTACAAACTGTTGCTGAATGCTGGGTGATGGGCAGCCTGGGGGTATATCAGGCTGCTTCCCACTGCGAGGCAATGCATGCACGGCTGCTCAGCACCACCCAGCACAGACCCCAGGACACACCGGGGTGAGGTCTGCAGTCAGCATGGCTCTCCATGCTGCTATGATGGCCAGGCCAAAGCCCCAAATACCTCACACGAGCCAGGGAAGCAAAGCAGCACTCAGATCCCAACTTTCTGCCCTCAAAGTGGGACACTCCAAGCTGCCCTACCCCTGACCTGGGCCATGGGGTGGTCTGGGTTTCTCCCTGGGGCTGCTTTCACCTCTCTGGAGGGCTGTTTCAGCCCGAGGCTCGGTGGCTGCTCCACCGTGGGGAGGGAGGTGTCAGCAGCTCCCTCAGCAGATAGTTTTTCAAAGCAAATTCCAAAGGGTTTACACAATCTTGGCAAGTAATAGTAGCGATTCGGCAAGCCGCCACGCTTCCCTTCCCTTCCTTGCTCCTTAAGAAGGGAGGGCAGAGCCCACACAGCCTGGAAAACAAGCTTCAAAGCCACCAGAGAGAGGGTTACCAAGTTTAGAAAGGATTTCGTGCTTGCCGGGAACTGCAGACCTGCAGCGTTGTCAGTGAGCAGCTTGGGTTAGTGGGAAGCAGTGGGCAGGCAGGGAGGGTGATGGTGACCAGGGGTTCACCAGGACCTGGGGGAAGGAGGCGCGTGTTGCAGAGGGGTCGTGTATCTCCTGGATGTCACCTGGGCTGTGGTGAGGACTGGGGATGCTGGGGATCTGCAAAAGCCTTCTGGGGGGTTCTAATCCCAAAAGCACTTGGGAGCAAAGGGCCAGCCCTGGGGTGAGCTGGATATAACACTGCCTCCATCCCTCATCTCAGGAGAAAGGGAAATGGGGAAGGAAAGCCTGAAAAGCCATATGGAGAAGAAAGTACAGCTTGAAGATGAGCCTTCTTTTGTCCCAGAGTTGCTGATGCATCTGCCTAAAGCTCGTTGTTATATTTTCCATGCATCAGTTTCTCCTTCTGTTCCTGATTTGGTTTCATCTGAAGGTCCCTCAGAAATTGCTTCTTACCCTGCTTTACACAGAGCTGAGCACACAGCATAGCCCCAGCAGTTCTGCAGGGGGGAGGTCAAGCCTGGACTTTTGCCTGGATTGCTGTACAGCTCCAACAAGAGCGCGCTTACAGGCACGGCCCTGTAGATGAGCTGAGCTGGACAGCATTGGCCAGTGAGCGAGGGGCAGAGGTGTCCCCACCCCAAGACACGCTCTGTCCTCACCCCTCTCCTCTTCCACTGGGGGTCCACCCCAGCTCCAAGACTCACCACGAGGTTCCCAATGACCATGACCATCATGAAGACGATGAGGCACATGGTCTGGCCAGCCACCTCCATGCAGTCCCACATGGTCTCGATCCACTCCCCGCAGAGGATGCGGAAGACGATGAGGAAGGAGTGGAAGAAGTCATTCATGTGCCAGCGGGGCAGCGTGCAGTCGACGGAGATCTTGCACACACACTCTATGTAGCTCTTTCCAAAAAGCTGCATCCCCACCACGGCGAAGATGAAGACGATGATGGCCAGCACCAGCGTGAGGTTCCCCAGGGCGCCCACTGAATTGCCGATGATCTTGATGAGCATGTTGAGGGTGGGCCAGGACTTGGCGAGCTTGAAAACCCTCAGCTATGGGGAGCAAGGAGACAAGGTGTTGATTTTCCTGGGGCTTTCATTGCCACAAGGTGTCAGCAAGTCTGCAAAGCTGGGATTAGACTTTAGCGTGACAGTTTTATTAAGGTAGGAGGGGCTAAACACCCAACTGCTTTGAAAAGGGCACAGACTCTGACTTTCCTAAGTGTTTGGCCTGACTGTCAGTGTTATCTTTAACAGGGGACAAGTTGGTGACCACCCTGGTGTCAACTGCATCCACAACCCCTAGGCACACCACAGCCCCGTGACACGTACCAAGCGGAAGGAGCGGAGCACGGAGAGCCCTTGCACATTGGCCAGGCCCAGCTCCACCAGGCTCAGGGTGACGATGATGCTGTCAAAGATGTTCCAGCCCTGCTGGAAATACTCGTAGGGGTCCAGAGCAATGAGCTTCAGAACCATCTCTGCAGTGAAGATCCCCGTAAAGACCTGTGGGAAACAGCACCTTGTCACTTTGCTTGTAAGCCAGGGCTGAGCCTTGGTGTGGGGCAGGTAGCATCTCTCTTTTCTGGTGTATTCATAAAGTGTTTCAACCCATTTGGTCCAGTTCCAGTTGGGAAGAAGCTCCCCAGCTGCTGCCCAGTGTGGCTTGTGAAACCAGTCTGGGAGTACTGGTGACTGATTGCTTCTGGAGAGACACAAAGGTGTGTGTTGCCAGGTGAAAATGAAAAATAGAAGTTTCATTGTCAAAGGGACCCCCTGTGAACGACTGTCAAATCACTGGGATTCCCAGCACTGGGAACTGGGCTGCTACTGGGATGCCCGTGCCCCTCCCTGAGCCCTGCGAAAGCTGATCCAGGTTTTACACATCACTCTTATCCTGGGACTACAACAAGGCTGTGCATTATCACATTACTCCGGAGCGGGATCAGCAATGTGACAATTAGCATCCTTGATGTAACTCCATGACACAGCATGTGCAGTGGGGCCCGGTGACAAATTTTGCCCTGGATATGCATTGCGTTGGGATACACAGGTCCTTGCCTCCACTTTGCAGGGAGGAGAGGCTGCAGGGAGACTTCTGCACCAGCATCCCAGGGGATGCTCCTTGACATGCCCCTTTGCCTGCCAGCCCATGAATGTCCCCTTTTCTGCTCCTGCCAGCTGATTGCTGCTCTTTTCATTTACAGCCTGGCCACCTTCCTTCTTGCATGAGATGGGCAGTAGGCACTGCAGCCTTCATCTGGGGCTTGGGCAGGTGATGTGGGGTGAGGCTGTGGCTCAGTGGAAGTTGCTTTTCCTGCTCCCACCCCTCATTGGCCCTTCTCAGCAAATCATCCTTATCCCCACCGGCACTGGGATGTACATGCAGCCACAAACCACTGCTGGCCCGAAGAAAAAGCTAGAGCTGTCTTTGCAGTGTGACTGTGCTTCGAGCAACAGCCAATTAATCCCCTTGTATTTCCTGAATGAAACCAGAGACAAAGCAGCTATGTGCTGAGCGTCATCCTGCCCGCCGGGGCTCAGGCACCCGCATGTGTCACTCCAGTGCCTGTGCACAGAGAGGCCCCGGCAGGTGCTAGAGCAGGACAAGGTGGCTGGAGAGGAGGCGGAGAGCTCTCTCATCCCTTAGCTGTATTTCCCAGAGCTAACAGGGGCTGCCTGGACTTGTCCCACTATCAGATTGCATCCAGCGAAAAGTCATTTACCCTGAGCTCCAAGCAGGACCAGCCACAGCTGGTTGCTAAATACACCCATGAAATCAGGATAGCCCAGATTTGTAGTGATGTTACTGGAAAAAGTCCTGATTTTTTTTTTTTTTTTTTTAAATGCTGCTAGCACTGTTGCCTCCTGCTCCGTGGTGACTTGTTTGCTCCCAGCATCTGAATTGGCCCTTGCTCTGCCACATGGTCACCCAGCATCGTGAGGATGCTGTGGTGTCAGCCCCAGCCAGCAGCAGCTCATGCCTGACCCTGGGTTGCAATGTAGAAGATGGCTCAGGAAAACATCTCTGCAAGGCCAAGGCCACACTGGCATTGCTGAGATGCACCAAGTGAGACAGAAGTTGCAGCAGAAGGGGAGCAGGGGCAGATGGATCCAACCCACATATCACTTCCCTTGATCTGAGCCATCTTGGAGTCCAGGGATGCTGTGGTCAGACCCCTGCAGCACTTTCTCAGCAGCTGGGATGCGTTTCAAGGCATGCATATGCATATTGTTCGGGTGACACAACGGCAGCGGAGGGGATCTGCCCATCAGGGTGGGTGGTGTGGCTGCTGTGACTGTAAATGGGGAAGGACGGCATGCCCATAGCTGCCTACCAGGTTCCCCACGGAGAGCACGTTCTCAAACTCCTCCGTCATGGGGTAATGCTCCATGGCCATGAAGAGCGTGTTGAGCACAATGCAGATGGTGATGCCCAGGTCCACGAAGGGGTCCATCACCACCAGCTTGACAAACTCCTTCAGCTTCAGCCAGGGGGGACAGCAGTTCCAGACCAGGAACGTGTGGGCAAATTTGTACCACCAAGGTGGGCACTTCTGGTGAGCTTCCTCCAGCTCTGAGGGCAAGAAAGAAAAATGACATCAGTGTAGGCTTATCCTGTTCTCCGCTGGGTGTGGCAAGTGCTAATCCACTAGAAGAGACCTCTCATGAGGGTCTGAACCAGCCCTAGACCACCTATAAGTTTAATATGGGGGCTGAAAGGAAGATCCTTCCTATGCCCAGGCACAGTGACGTTGCAGACCTTACCCTCCAAACCAGAGGGGGATGGAAAGGCAGATCAGTCAGGGAATTGTGAGTTCAATCCTGCTCTCAGCACCTGGGCAGGATTTGAGGTGTCCCAGGCACACTGAGATTGCAGGGACATCCGAGGGAACTGCTCTGGAGTGACCAGAGGGTTTGGTGCCCACTCTCAGGGAGAACGAGGCTGAGAAGCCAGTTATCGCCGATTCTGTGGTGCTTTTTGCTGAAGTTGATCCAGCAGCTCTGGGAAGCCACTCAACAGCTCTCAGCTGACTCTGGAGACTGCTGTAATCAATTGCAATCCCATTCAATTGCGTGAGATATTGTATTATTGCCTTCGGCATCATCCTAGCGAGCTGGGATGAAAAGCTTTGTTTGAGCATCTCTGCAGTGCGCTGACCCAGTATGGAGACCCCAGGTCCAGAGCCATCCCTGCTTGGGGCTGGAGATTTGGGGCAGCCACTATCACGGGTGTGTGCTGAGCACCCCACGCCCACCAACACACAACCGCTGGGCTGAACCAGCTGGCACACCCAGCCCTCCCCCAGGCTGGGGAAGAATGTACCTTCCACAGCATTGGAGATGACGCTGATGGCGCTCCCCACCCTCTTCTCCAGGCCTGGCCCATCCTGGTTGCCCACAGTGAGGTGGTTGTGGTCTGATTTCTCCGGCTCATTGGTTGGATTGAACTAGAAGGAGAGGAGGCCACAGGGGGTGAATGCAGAGCGCTGCGGGCTGGTGAATGCACTTAAAGATAAAGCAGGCAGAAAAAAGGTCTGGGGAGACCTCGGGGTGCAACATGGGAGCGCAGGTGGGCTGCAGGAAGACTTGTAGGGCCCAACCCACACAAGTCTGTCCCTCCACCGGGGTTACTGGGGTGGGGACCCTCAAGGGACAGCAGAGACAGCAGAGCACGTACATCAATCACTGTGGCGGACCGCTGCAGCACGACCTTGGGGACCACTTGCCCGTTGCAGTTCTTTGCCTTGTCCTGGTCACTGTTCAGGTCCGAGTCGCGCTCCTTCTCGGCCGTGCTGCTGGGCAGGGAACTGCCGCTGGACCGCCGGTCCTGCAACTGCAGCAACCCCCGTCCTCGTCACCCCCGTGTCTGCAGCATCGGGACCGTCCCGCCATCGCTGCAGGGCACCAGGCTAAGGAGGGGAGCGAGCTGAGCCCCAGGACCACCCTGGGCAGGACTTTGTGACTCCAAAGTCTGCTGCCGCAGGTCCTGGGCAGCACACTCGCATCCTTATGAGCAACAATGAGGAATGACCATTTGCAGTAGCTAATTGTTGCAAGCCTTTCCTTTCCACTTGCACACCCCACCATACTAAGCTCTCCACACAGCAGGATTAGATCTGTTCAGATTTTCTCAGGGGGAATAATTCATAAGGACAAAACTGTGCAAGTCTTCTAATTCTGTCTGGCAGGAAACTTTAATCTTTGAGACATGCTTTCATCCCAAATGGAGAAGAAACAAAATCTTCAATGCTCTTGCTGAAATGCAATGTCCATAATTTTTTGACTTGCAATGAATTTGTGAATATTTGGATCCAAATTTATTTTTTTTCCCCAAATGTTGTTTTATTAGATTTTCATTTGAACATGTGATAATTTTTTTTTTTTTTTTTTCCTTTCTGACAGCAGCATTAATATTTCAATGTTATTACACCCTCTGGTCACATCAAGGATGCCACAGAGGAGTGGGAACCTCTCTGTTCCATCACTGAGATGGAACACAGTTTCTACGCTCCATCACTGGATATTAAATGGATCTGAGCCCCCACTTTCTGTAGGCGCTTTCCCTCACTCTCAGACTTATTCCCTCTGCCTTCTCCATTTCTATAGGTGACAATAAAGGAGTATCATCCCTTAATAAATCCTTTGGTCAACTCACTCCTTTGCTCAGGGAACTGGCCACAGCACCAGCTTTATGCCCAGCCCTGGTGTCCCCATCCCTCGGGCAGGGCTTGCTGAGACCCATCCTGCAATCAGCACCAGACAGATAAGAGCAAGATACTTCCTCGGAGGATGTTGTGGCTTGGCACAGATAAGCAATGAGAGATAGAGACTCTAGAGAGAGAGGAAAACATTGTTTTGTGTCTCTCTCTACATGCAAGGAAGCTGGTCTTTTGCCCAGACAAACAGTTAGATTTGCAGGGATGTCCCCTGTGGACGTTGCTGACAAAGACCAAAATGATGATTAGAGATGGAAAATGCCTGGGCTGCAATATCAAGCATCACAGAAACTTTTGCCCATGTTTTTGTAGGCATATTCTGCTGAAAAGAGACTCCCAAGGACCAGAGAGGGGCTAAGGTAGCACCCCAGCACCACAATGGGGTGAGTGTCTCTTGTCTCGACTGTGGTTTTGCCAAGAAAGGCTGGACCAGATGATCCCTGAGGTCCCTTCCAACCTGGTATCCATAGAATCATAGAATACCTTGGGTTGGAAGGGACATTAAAGGTCATCTAGTCCAACCCCCCTGCAATGAGCAGGGACATCTTCAACTAGATCAGGTTGCTCAGAGCCTCATCCAGCCTGACCTTGAATGTTTCCAGGGATGGGGCATCTACCACCTCTGGAAATCCTGTGCCAGTATTTCACCACCCTCAGTGTAAAAAATTAATTCCTTATATCTAGTTTAAATCTACCTTCTTTTAGTTTAAAACCCTTATCCTGTTGCAAGAGGCCTTGCTAAAAAGTTTATCCCCACCCCTCCTGTAGGCTCCCTTTCAGCCCTGGGGGCTGCTCTAAGGTCTCCCCGGAGCCTTCTCTTCTCCAGCTGAACCCCCCAACTCTTAGCCTGTCCTCACAGGGGGTGCTCCAGTCCCCCGAGCATCCCTGTGGCCCCCTCTGGCCCCGCTAGAGCAGGTCCGTGTCCTTCTGCTGTTGGTGCCCCCAGAGCTGGACCCAGCCCTGCAGGGGGGTCTCACAGAGCGGAGCAGAGGGGAGAATCCCCCCCCGGCCCTGCTGCCCACCCTGCTCTGGGGGCAGCCCAGCACACTGTTGGCTTTCTGGGGTGACAGCACACATTGCCAGCTCGTGTCCAGCTTTTCATGCACCAGTACCCCCAAGTCCTTCTCTGCAGGGCTGCTCTCAATGCCTTCATCCCCCCCAAGCCTGTGCTGATGCCAGGAATTACCCCAACCCAGGTGCAGGACCTTGCATTTGGCCTTGTCGAACCTCATGGGGTTCACATGAGGATCCCTCTGGATGGCATCCCATCCCCCAGCTATGTCAGCCACAGCACTCAGCTTGCTGTCATCTGCAAAACTGCTGAGAGTATTCCATGAATCTGTGAAATGGGTGGAAGCGAAGCAGCTTCAGAGACGACCCGTTCTGATGCCGCCTTGTTTGACTGCAAACTGCAGCACCAGGCATGTGCCTCTGCTCGTATCTGCTGCGGGGGGACAGCAGTGAGGCCAGGCCCTGAGAGCTGTGCCTCTGCTCCTGCAAGGACACCAGGACAGCCCCGGGCCAGACAGGGTCTCTCAAGCCTTCTCTTCTGTTTCCAGTCTTGGCCAAAAGCAAATGGTTTGCTAATGCATTTAGCTTTGCTGCAACTGTCTTATCTTCCTTGAGCACTTCTTTTGTACCCAGATCATAGTCTGCCTGTGCAGGCTCTCTGCCAGGTTTCCTGCTCTTGATGTAATACAGGAAGATGTATTGTTAGTTCTGGTGCCTTTTAAGCCTCGTTTCTCACCTCTTCCTTTCAAGGATACCTCACCTCTGCACTGCCTCCCAGTGCTTCCAGTGCTGGATTTTGGATGTGGAAATTAAAATTTTCAGGCCACAGATTTCTAAAACTTGATGAGGACTTTTGAATGCCTTCATTTTTGTCACTCTTTTTGATGCCAGCTGCCTTTGAGATGCTTGTGCGTTGCACTAACTGCATTCTTAAATGCTCTTTTTTAGGATTTTGGGTTCACAGAAAAATAACACTTAGCAGTAACGATTTTTGAAACTCTGAATCTTTGTCAAGCATTTGGAGCTCATTAGCAGAAAAGTATTAGAAGCAACTGTGGAAGTATTAGGAAACAATACTGTGTAACACACAAAGCATTTGGCTAGGACAGAAGCTCTAGCTGTGCTATTCACTCAGTATATGCTGTCAGCCACCTACCTTTGTTGCCTACTGTACAAAAGAAATTTTTCCCACCTTCAAGATATATGAATTGTATTTTATTTCATATTTAAGACTAGTAACAAGGTCAAAAAGACCTTGGACCTCTAAATTCTTGACTGCAGTCTGGGGGCATCATACACCATGAACAGATCAGGTTGTCTTCCTCATACTGAAAATTAAGTTTCACATTTTTCACAGGGAGCCCAGTGTCAGATTTGTTGCATGTGGACAGATCCGTTTAGTAATGCAATTCTTTTACATGTATCCAGCCCTATCCCCAGAAAAACAACCTGTTCCTAACAGAAAAGCTCTGTGCCCTGTGCCATGTTGGGTTTTTTGGTCATATACTGTGAAATCACATTCTATGTCTGACAGCTCTATTGCAGATGGTGGGTGCTCTCCAAATGGGTGCTCAGGCTCTAGATTCCACTAAGCCCTCTCTTTAAGATGGCACCACTTAGCTAAAGAGCGTGCATAGACATGTGAGGGCTAATTTTCACAACAGGAATTTTCTATGGCACTTACCTTAGAAGAGCCATAACTCTTCTACAATCTTTTGCCATGCTCCCTTAGCAAAATAGAAATCTTTTGAGGTTTTATATATATATATATATATATATATATATATATATATAAAACCTTAACATTAAAAGCAGCCATATAACAAATGAAAAGCAAAATGAAGCATAACAAAATGTAAGAGAAAAGCCTATCAAAAGACT